TCTCGCTGCCCAGGCGGTCTCAAACCCGCGGGCTCAGGCAATCCACTCACCTCAGCCTCCCAAAGGCGCGGGATTACAGGCTGAGCCACCGAGCCCGGCTAGGTTTCCTCATCTTTAAACATGAGAATGATAAATACATCCTCACAGGAGTGTCACAGGGTTGAAGTGACACATTTGAAAGATCGTTGAATAGTGTAGACTCTCAGAAATTGTTTTGTGCTTGGTGAGTGGCCAAACAAAGGGAATATCTGCCCTTTTCCCATCAAGTCAGTACAAAGAGGATCTTACCTTATTGCTTAGGAAAAGCTCCCCCTGCAGATACAGAGGAAAGGACAAAGGCACCAAGCAAGTAGTAGCAGGACCCGGGCAGGGCCCTGACACTAAGCAAGGATCCAGGACAAGCAGGATCCAGCCCACAAGTCATGCGGCCAGATTCTCAGATGCACCATCCAGCCCAGCCTTCCCGAGGGCCCAAAGCAAAGTCCTCACCCTCCCGTGCCTCAGCGTGCATCTGTGAAAGGCAGACTGTCGTCTTGCTCTCTTCCTCCTGTGGCCGTTGCCAGCCTTAAATGTGCCTGGCACATAGTAAGTGCTCAATATTTAACATTATTATATAAAAGCTGGCAGTATTTTGAAATGTCTTACACTCAAATCACAACTTAAGAATAATGCACACTCCAGCCTTTCCGCTGCTCAGCAGGAATTGTGAAGCTCTGTTCTGAATCCAGTGGGAGAAAAGAAGGTATACCACCCACTCGAAACCCAGGCCGGCAAGGCCCCAAACTCTTTGATATTTAGTTTAGCTTTAGTGGCAAATAGGTCGTGTTAGGTGCATTGTTGCTACTGCTGTTGTTGTGATTTGATTGAGACCAAAAGGAGACAGGGAAGCTGGAGAAACAGGCTGCTTAGCAGGTTGCAGGAAAAAACAGTGTATGACGAAATGACACATGACTTGTGATGACACATGTGTTCTTTAAAAAAGAGAAAAACTGGTCAAGTGCGGTGGCTCAAGCCTGTGATTCTAGCACTTTGGGAGGCCGAAGTGAGAGGATTGCCTGAGCCCACAGGTTTGAGACCAGCCCGGGTAACTTGGTGAGACCTCATCTCTATAATAAATCAAAAATTAGCCGGGAGCAGTAGCACACGCCTGTAGTTCTGGCTACTTGGAAGGCTGAGGCAGAAGGATCGCTGGAGTCAAGCAGGCCGATCTTGGGGTGGCCATGAGTGTGCCACGGCACTCCAGCCTGGGCGATGGAGTGAGACTCCAACTCAAAAAAAAAAGAGAGAGAAAGCACAAAGACCAACCCCAGGGTTATGCCCACAAATGTGCAGACATCTGCTCAAAGACACTCGAAATACTTGAAAAATGTCATCAACCTAAATGTGCATCCATAGGGAAAAGGGGTCATAAAATGGGCCACAGTGATATGGGCAGTTATTATCCAGCAGGTAAGAGGATGACCTGGGTCTGTATGTACCGACATGATGGCGTTCACAGATACTCAGGGAAAAATGCAAGTTTGCAGAATGTTAAGTGTCTTATGATAACATGTATCACAATTTAAATATATAAAATAATATTCATGATTATTTGTTATTAGGTATATGATAAAATAATATTCGTTTATGTATTGAACTGCATAAAATACATCAGAAGAATGCTTTAGCATGGCCTGAATGTTTGTGCCACCCCAAGATTCATATTGAGGCCTAACTCCCCAGGTGACAGTATTAGGAGGTGGGCCTTTGGGAGGGGATGTGGAGGTAGAATGAGAGAGCTTGCTTCCTCTCTGTCTGCTCTCCCCCGACATGAGGATGCAAAGAGAAGCCAGTGTCTGAAAGGGGCCCTCACCAGACACCAGTTCGGCTGGCACATTGACCTCAGACTTTCAGCTTCTGACACACATTCTAGGTGAGAAGTAAATGTGTATTGATGCCACCCATTCCAGGTATTTTGATACGGCTGCCCTCGCTGACCAGAACAGGCTCCCATCTTACAACAGTGTTAATTTTGTAAAGGGAAGTAGACATTGGCATTGAAGTTGGATGTGAAAGAGGCTTTATCTTTATCTATAAAGTTACTTTGTGTGTGTGTGTGTGTGTGTGTGAGTTGGAGCCTCACTCCGTTGTCGCCCAGGCTGGAGTGCAGTGGCACGCTCATGGCCACCGCAGTGTTGACCTGTCGGGCTCCGGCGATCCTTCCGTCTCAACCTTCCAAGCATCTGAAACTACACGTATGCACCATGCTCGGCTAATTTTGTTTTTATTGTATGTATTGTATTTAAGCTGCGGTCTCGCTACGTTGCCCGGACTAGTCTCCAACCCATGGGCTCAGGCAATCCACTCACTTCGGCCTCCCAAAGTGCTGGGATCACCAAACCCAGCCTCTTTCGCATCCAACTTCAATGCCAACTTCCCTTTGCTCAAAATAGAGAAAAAAATATATACATATTATGCTATTTTTAAGTATGAATGTACATACATAGATGTGTGTATAGGTATGTATGCATGTGACTGTGTGTTTACATACACATGCTCAAGTGTAAAATAGAATAGACCCTATTCTCTCGCCCATCTCATTCCCAGGCCCACCTCTTCACAGACAACCACACTTCACATTTTGATTCTTACGCCTTCAAGCCTATTGTATGCACACATGATATGCAAGGACCTCTTTTGTTGCCAGAATGTGGAGAATTCACTCATTCTTTCTAGCAGCCACTTGGTCTTCCTTGTCTGGAAGAGTCATACCTTTTTTAACTAATTTCCTATGGAAGAAAATTTAGGTTGGTTATCTCCACCCTCCCAAAAAAGACCAGAAGGAATGTTTTCTGCACATCTTTGTCTACCTGTGCAAATGGTGTAAATCTGAGGAATAGCCTAGGTCAGAGTGTGTACATATTTACATTTTTCAAAGACAGAACATAAAGTCGTAAGAGCTTTGGCATTTACTATTTGTGTGACCTAGAACAAGTTCATTAATAATACTGTTTGTATTATTTTTATTTTCTCCTGAGGAATAAGTAAGTTAACATTTGTAACATGGCCACACTTCAACTTCCCCTGGGTCCTGCCAGGTCCTACCCAGAGAGCTGCCATTTCACCAGGGCAACTAGATGCCCACTGCCCTCGATGGAGGCCAGGAGGCCCCAGACCACAGCCGCACTCTCAGTATGTGGGCACTGACTCTCTGTGCACCTGTGTTTGTCTCTCCACTCAAAAGAATCTTCATCTTGCTGGGAACAAGAGCGTAGGGTTCCAGCTGAGCTGCCATTTCCTATATTTGTCAGTAATTTCTTATTTTAAAAAATAAGCTGGCAGTAATGGGAAACTGTCAGGGAAGTGGGGGTGGGATTGGCAGTTGAGGGAAACTGCCAAGGGAAGAAGGGGCACACCTCATCAACAAGAGTATCTGCATAATCAATGTTTGTATACCTAACCCTAAATTGTACCCCACATCTTTAAAATAAAATAAAATAAATAAGCTGTCCTACATTTTTATAACTAGGCAGGTAAAACATTTTCCAAAAACGTGAATACATGGAACAGTTTTCTTTCCAACACAGATTATGAAATCCATTGTAGTCAGAAGACCAGGGCTGCAGGATCTCAGTGTTTTCCCCATAAAGCAATGTGGTCCCAAATTCCCCTGTCAGAGCCCTGTCTGTCTCTGCTATGTTTCAGCATGAGTTGATGCTGATTTGCACATTTTTAATATTCCAACATGCTAATTCGCTGGTATACATCACATGGTTCCCATCCCAAATATACAGGTAGGTTTCAGTTCACATGGCTGCATAGATTTCTCTACACCAACACTTGACATTGCAGAATGCCAATTTACGATACCTTTATGAGGTTTTCCGCAGGAGCAAAAAAGTCGTCTGTTGCAAATAAAATCTAGACAAAGAAAGAAAGAAGTAAAGATAAAATAACCATAAATTTAAAACCATTTTATTTCATTCCCTAGTGAAACATTATGAGAGGCAGTAAAAAGAAAATGTGAAGTTGCCTAGGGGAAGAGACACAATATGCAATTAAGCCACAATGCTTTTTAAATGTTTAGATTTCATTGCCCGACTCCTCCTTAATCTTTTTTTCTTAATCCCCTTTGCCATCTGGATATGAAAGAGCTAACTTCTTATACTCGGGAAGCAAATAAACCGACTTTCTTCTTTTCAAGAACCAAAAGTTTTGTGGTACTTTTACAAAGTGCTGACCAAAAACCGCCACCCTGGATCGCACCTGTGGTTTGGTGGCTTGGTTTTCTTTCTTCAAAGGGCCACTCAAAAGTCACCTTGCGGGTAGGCTGTCCTGGTAATTTATGGACCAAGGCAGGATATTTTGGGGAATGAGAGAAGGTGCTAATTATACACCAAGGAAATCGTTGTAAACCGGATTTTCCCTAGCAAAGTAGGCCTTGGGTCACCCTACCTAGCAGTGACCTCTGCAGCATGGAGGGGACACTGTCCTGGCCTCTGATTCCAGTCCAGGAACCCACAAGGCAGGAGAAGATCCAGCTGTTTTGGAGCTGCTGCCTGTTTGAATGACGGAGTGTAGGGGAGTCTCTGTGTGTTGAGATTGACCTGCCCTTTGAGAATGGGTCAGGTTTCAAAGGGCAGGCGAGCAGACATATCAGGGTCCTCCCTGCTCCAGATCACTTCATGGCTCCTTAACAGAAACTCTTGCAGGGCACATGGGGCCTCTCCAGACTCATTCTCCTCACTCTCCCCACAGACACCTGGTGAGTTCCAGAAACACTAAGCCAGGAGCATGTCATTCTTGTCTGCTTGCCTCACTGGCACCCACTGCCTAAACCGTCCCCACCCCAGGCTGCCCATGGCTAGAGTCTGTGTGCTCCCCAGCACCCTGGCTTTGTCTTGGTCACAGTGCTGGTCTGGACTTACATCTGTCTCCCTGGTAGAGTGTAAGGTTCCTGGGGGCAGCAAGGAGCCTTTTCTTTCTGTTTCAGACAGAGCCCCTCTGCATGTGGCTTGCACCTAAGTGCCTGTGGACACTGTGTGTAACAAGTTCTCCTGTGGCAGAGAGGGGGCTGGTAGCAGTTAAAAGTATTCCTTTTGAAAATCAATCGGCAAGCTCTGAAAACCCGCCAGACCAGTTTTGTTTGAGAAAAACCAAATAGCCAAGGACTGATGGCTTTCATAGAAATGCAAAAGAGTGACTAATTCACAAATTTACCCAAATTCCCTCTTTATCAGTTTACAGCCCCTACTCATTCTCCATTTCCTGGAAACCATTTGTTCTTTGAAAACCTGATTTTGTTGAGTACAACCTTGTGAATTCCAAAGAATGTGTGTAATCGCTCAACATGACCCCTCTCCCCTACCTAAACAAAGGTATAAGACCACTCTCCTCCCTTTCTGGGGTGCACGGCCTGGGAGCGTTAGCCTGCGGAGTCCACCGGCATAAGTAAAATTGCCACTTCCCATAATAGTCTCGGTGCCACGACTTCTCTGTCTCCCCACTACATTATCTTGTGCACTGGCCGGGAAAGGAGAGTTCAGAGATGGTGTGTTCCACCTCCTTTGTCATCAGACTACAGCCTCCAGGGCGACGGGAAGGGCAATCTCGCCTGGCACGCAATGGACCTTTTGATCCGTAGGAGGGAGGCCCCTCCCAGCGCACTGAGGCTCAGACCACGAAAGCACAACAGGGACCCAAGAGGCAAGTAACTGGCGTGAGGATGACCACCTGATGAAAAGGACAGAAAGACCACCAGACGGAGAGGGTAGGAACAAGGGCCTTTGCATAGACCTGCCAGTAGGTGGCAGAAGGGGAGCTTGATGACTTCTGGAGTCTGCAAGTATTCTCCAGCCTGAAGGAAAGGGCTGCAAGGCAGTGAAGGAAACGCTACTTCGAGGCAAAACCATCGACTCCCAGGAATTGGGTGGAGGGTTGAAGAATGTGCTGCGTCATGGCATGTGAATGAGACGGACGGTGGGAAGGCTCCACATAAAGTTAGTCTGCGTTGGGGGTGTACCAACCTGCCAATTGCTGATAGGTGTCTGAGTATCTTCATGAGGAGTATGACTGGAGGGGGGAACAAAGCGGATGTTTCTCATACTGCTCATTCTCTTATTTGTTTGTGTCTGTCGTTTTGAACCTGCTACAAAGCTGGTTGAGTTATTATGCTTTGTTTGATGGGACATGTCATCTTTTAAAAACTCGATTAGCGCCTGTTTCTTTATGTCATTTTATGTTTCCCACCCTTTATTTGTGTGGTGTTTCTCCCAACCTGTTGGCACTGTTAAAATTCCTGTCTTTGTGGTTAAGAATGTGGGAAAGTTGCCTGATGGGTATATGAAGTGCTATCAGTTATCTTGAATTATTTCCCAGGACCACACCCTCTCTCTTCCTTAGCCTATGTTCTCCTTCATGAATTCTGAAGGAGTTCATTCTAATCCACCTGTAAAGAAACATAGAAATGTCTCTTATATGCTACTTAGCCTTTTGCTAACTCAGTGCAAATTAATGCTAGCCTTGGAGAAAATAATTTTGTAATCTTTCTCTGGCAACTAAGGGACTGAATAGACTGTTCTTGTTTTCAAATGCCAAAAGCCAGGTTAGTTAAAACTAAGTCTGTTTCTAAAGGTTTAGGCCTTGCCTAAGATTGTAATCAACTGTAAAACTGTTGGGAAGTCTCTTAGAGTCGAGTAATGTATGCTGAGTCCCTACTTTAAATTGTAATGCTAGATAACACTACTGCTTGCTTTTTTGGCTATGCCTGACTAGCACACCCGTACAAGACTGGTAAAGCTTTAAATGCTGAATACTTTGCAGGACTTAATAAGGCATGGGAACTGGCCATTCCCGCCTGACTAAGTCACCTTCTAAGCTCGGTACTTCACCTAAAGGACAGGTCAAGTACTAGGCACATTCTGTGGAGCATAGAGTGAGACCTAATCACTCTCATTTAATTGTCCACGTCTTACAACCAAGGCTATGTTTAGTAATTCATGAGGATTTTTGACAGTTTTGCCTGTTCATAATTAGGAATGAGTAGGAACAGATCATTTTACATCCACGTGGTCTGTTCACTCTAAAAGGTTTTGTACCAGGCCATGCTGTAGGCATCATTGGAAAGTTGTGGAGCAAAAAAAAGGGGGGGCTTCAAGGAGGGCTGAGAACACTCAGCTTGGAAGAAGTCATCAGTTTTCCAAGAATTCCTGGCGTTGCTGTTTATGGCTTTATTTAGTTATTTGTTTGTTTTAAAATTCTCCTTTGAGGAATAAATTGCAAATGTTCAAAACAAATTCTGGGTTTTCAAGAAAAGTAACCAAGGAAATGTGTAATAATCTGTACCCTCAGACACCCCAATGGGGCAGATTTTAGATAATTAAAGCAAATTAATATTATAGGGTTTAAAAATATATAATAGTAAGTGTATTATTAAAATCAAATTTGAATTCACTACAAGTTAGCAGATAAGATTTGAAAAGGAGCAGAACTATCTGGCAATTAAATTCACTTTGTAGGTATAAAGAAAAATGGTCAAAAGTTCTGTATGCAGAGGCATTTTAAAAATTTATTTCACTACTTTGCAAACAAGATTATATCCTATGGAATATTAAATACCCAACTCCAAAGGCTTGGCTCAGGACTATGAATACCAAACTCCCAATTATAGAAAGCTTCTGAAGTTCTTAGAAACTGAAACATTAAGAAAAGAAAAAAGAGAAGGACTCCAGAATGAGCACCAGCCAGAGGAAAGGTAAACAAACCTACTGACAGTTGCCACTAATGGCAAAGCTCCAGCCACCCAAAAGAGGCCTGATAAGGATAAACCTGCTAAGAGGAATGGTATCAGTTGCTATGGATATGGTCAATCTGGGCAATTAAAGCACAATTGTTCTTGACGGCCTAAGCCCCCAGGACCTTGTCCAACATCTGGATTAAAAAGCCACTGAAAGAGATGGTGCAGCCTCTCCAGAAGAGTGGGGGAACACCTAGCTTGGTGATAGTGGTCATTGATTGAAGGGGAAGGGGCACGGCCCAGCCTAGTGCTCTGTTTGTCACCACCCCAGAGAATCCTTGGGTCTGTATGAATGTTGCTGGAGTCCAAATTAATTTCTTAATACTGAGGCTAAGTTTTTAGCCCTTGTGCTCATACTGAGCCTCTTTCTCCAGAAACCTGCTCTCTAATGAGAGTTAAAGGTGTTCCAAAAGTTAAATGTTTCACCTAACAGTTACTAAAAGGTGAATTCAAAATATGACTGTAAAAGATTATCTATAAAAAGATAAAAAGCAAAGGAAAAATATTAAAAGGTTGTTGGTGTACAAATAAGGTTTTAGTAAGAAAACCAAAAAAGGAATATAAAAGAAAAGATATTTTTATCTAAAAAGAGATCTTATATGGTAAATTTCTGTCCTATAATAAATAATTATCTGAGAAGTTTTTTTAAAAAGGGGAGATAAAGAACAAAAATAAAATAGCATATGTGCCAAAAATCGTATAAGAAAAGCTTATGAAAAAATATATATATACAAAAAAATTCTATAAACAATCTAGGCATAATAAAGTCTTTTCTGGATGCAAGTCTCCAAACATTTTCGGATTTCTCTTCAAATTTTATATAAAATTTACTTGAGTGCCTAGTTCAAATTATAGTCTAAAACAATCTGTCAGGCTACCACAATAGTCCAGAAATACATTAAAAACTCCAAAGGCTGGTACTTGTAATAAAGCTGTAGAAATTAAAGTTTATCATTTAAGTTATGCTAATAACTTCAGGTCTTATAGCTTTTGTACAAAAGGTAATCAGCTACTACCTATAATTGTCAAAATGTATGCCTGACTTTATTCCTTTTATTGAGCCAGAATTCAGTAATTTCATGCCCACATAATGGTCATGCGAGAATTCCAGTCAGTGCCTGCAAACAATGTCACTGCTGAAACAGTACTGGACACCTCAAGTCAGACGGGGACTAATTTTCAATCTCTGGCTAGGCAAGACTTCGCCCATTGTTAGCTCTGAAGAAATTACAGAAAACAGACCTTCACCCCTCAGCATCCCATATGATTATGGGATTGAAAAATCTCTAAAGAATAAATAATTGAGGCAGGGTAGCTAGCACAGTCTAGACACAGATAAATTTCCTACAGGTAGGTTTTAGAAGGTGTTCAAACATTTTAAAAATTATATTCTACTGCAGGCCAAGTGACAGCCTACCCCACCCTTCGGAAAATCCAAAGAAAACTCCATCAGATGTAGAACCAGAACAGTACAATCTTTCAATTTGTGGTTTAGCATAATAATCACTAGAAATCCTTTGGAGACGTGAGTAAACTGAACATAGGTATTTGGTATTGCATTGCTCAGGATCCAAGTCAGTCCCTGAGATGGAATTTGTTAAACATTTGAAATTGTTTAATGGTGGGCCTTTTTCCTACACCTCTGAAGGAAAGGGGGGTCACAAACATAAATGCTCATAAGAAAATGTGTTGTCCATTTGGGACAAATTTTAATCACAGTTTATAAGCTCATTTCCCTAGATACTTCTTGGACCAGAAGAAACTCAAACACCCCAGGGGAATAAATGCTGCTAAAAATTGAAGAAAGGGAGGACCCAACCAACAACTGCAAGAAAAAAGGACCCTAAGGGTGGTCCTGTTCCTATACTAGTCTATAGAATTTAAATACCTAACTTCTCTATCATGATGAAACCCCTCTATAAAGCCTCAAAGAGGGGTGAACAGGAGCCCCTGCTATGGGAAAAGGCCCAGAAACAGGCCTTTGAATGAATTAAACAGACTTCCCGCCTTTTAAAATTCTTTATGGGTAGCCACTCCCTCTCATTAAGGGCATACAGGGAGACTTAAAGGAATTAGGAAGTCTTAACCTAAAACAACAAATGCAAGCCTTAGGTTCAGTCCTAAATGCCATCCATTGTCAAGTCAGAGAATGATTGCCAATTAGTTTAACTACCGATGCCCATTCTTTTAAGTCAGGTGATATGGTAGGGGTAAAAGAATGGAATGTACAACCTCTAAAGCCCCTCTGGAGGGGGTCATTTATTGTCCTTTTATCTACCCCAACCGCAGTCAAAGTAGCCAAAATAATTCCTTGGATCCATTATAGCAGAATTAAGCTGGCCTTCCAGGACTGGGAGTGCACCGCAGATTTGGCAACACACCTTAAGCTGACCCTCCGGAAAGTCATCGAGCCCGATAGAGGACCTGGAACAAATTTCTCAAGCCCTGCTCTAGAAGCCTGAGGATACTTCAGCCCTGCTTCAGTCACACACCAGAGGCTGGCTAATTGACACACGGCAGAAGACTGAGGATTCAGTTTAAGAACTCAGCAGACATTACTGATAAGCCATTATTTTGCTTTGTCAACCTTTATCTATGCTAAACTGTTTGTCATTTTAATTGCTGTAAAACTGACTTTATTTGCTATAGAATTAACAGAGTTGTCCCCATTGAACATGTTAGAAAAGGGTCTCACTAGCATTTCCATTCTTTCTTAAGATAGGAAACATTCTTGTGCTTTTATGTATTTCTGCCTAATTTGGATGTTTATCGCTTCCCTCACACACCCAGTATGTACGTGTATAGAAACTATCTGGCCAGACATAAGTTTTCCATCATTATTCATCCCAGCCAGAAGTTTGTTCTGGTGGCCAACAAGGCCTGTTTGGTAATGGACATCTGCTTATGCAACTAAATCGTCTCAATGTACTAAAGGGCTATTTTGGACATATAAAAAGGTTGCATATGCCCAGCTTCCAGCATTATGGAAAGGCACATGTACCATAGGAATAATCCAGCCAGGATTTTTCCTTCTGCCTAACCCAAGGGGGGGTGAACTAGGTATTCCCCTTTATGAAAGCCTCAAAACACGAAATGCCCAATCCCTCGACCAAGTTCCTAATATAGGAGGGACCCAGGTTTGAAAAAATAACAAATAGCCACCCCAGAAAATTATAAATACTTATGGCCCAGCCACATGGGCACAAGATGGGAGTTGGAGATACCGCACGCCTACATATATGCTAAATCGCATTATCAGGTTACAAATTGTCTTGGAAGTTATAACTAATCAAACAGTCACGGCTTTTGAGCTTGTTGCTCAGCAATAAGCCCAAATGCGCACAGCTATTTATCAAAACCACTTAGCTTTGAACTACTTACTAGCAGAAAAAGAGGAAGTATGTGGTAAGTTTAATAGCTCTAACTGTTGTTTGCAAATAGATAAAAATAGTAAAGTTATAACTGATATAGCCACCAATGTTAGAAAGCTTGCCCATGTTCTGGTGCAAAAATGGCAAGGCATAAAAATCAGCAATTGGTTTGAAAACATGTTTTCAGGTCTAAGAGGATTTAAGTACATTATTGGATCTGTCGTCCTATTGGTGGAATCCTGTCTTGTCCTCCCTTGCATAGCCCCAATAATTATGAACTCCATTTCTAAGTTTGTGGATACAGTTGTTGAACGAAAAACTAAGGATGATGTTCTTAACCCTTGAAGGGTCGAGCATCAAAGAGGGGAATGTGGCAGAGAGGGGGCTGGTAGTAGTTAAGAGTATTCCTTTTGAAAAATCCATCGGCAAGCTATGAAAACCCGCCAGACCAGTTTTGTTTGAGAAAAACCAAATAGCCAAGGATGACAGCTTTCATGGAAATGCAAAAGAGTGACTAATTCACAAACTTACCCAAATCCCCTCTTTATCAGTATACAGCCCCTACTCGCCCTGCATTTCCTGGAAACCATTTGTTCTTTGAAAATCTGATTTTATTGAGTACAACCTTGTGAATTCCAAAGAAAATGTGTAATCACTCAACAGGACCCCTCTCCCTTACCTAAACAAAGGTATAAGACCCCTCTCCAGCCGGGCTCAGCGGCTCAGTCTGTAATCCCAGTCCTTTGGGAGGCTGAGATGAGTGGATTGCCTGAGCTCACGGGTTCGAGACCCGCCTGGGCAACTTGGCAAGACCTCATCTCTACAATAAACAAAAAAATTAGCCGGGCGTGGTAGCACTTGCCTGTAGTTCCAGCTACTTGGAAGGCTGAGGCAGAAGGATCGCTGGAGCCCAGCAAGTCAAGGCTGCGGTAGCCGGGAGTGGCCACTGCACTCCAGTCTGGGTGACAGAGTGAGACTCTGACTCAAAAAAAAAAAAGACCCCTCTCCTCCCTTTCTGGGGTGCTCATCCTGGGAACGTTAGCCCACCGAGTCCACCAGCTTAATAAAATTGCCACTTCCTATAATAATCTCAGTGTCACGACCTCTCTGTCTTCCCACTACACTCCAGGTGATTCTCATACCACACTGAAGCTTGAGAACCACTCATCTACTAGAATAAGACCCACAGAGGGACAGTGACTCCTTTGCATAATGCAAAAGTGTCTTTTATAAAAACTTAAGACAGTGCTACCCTTGATCAGAATTGTCACCAGTCTAAAGTCAATTCTTTGGAAGTCTTTTTCGACAATGGGCTCCCTCAGACAGGCTGTTCCTTCTGCCTGATTCTTGCTCTTTTGATTGGGTTCTCTGTGCTGGTGAGTTGGGCCCTTGGCCTGGATACATTAAACACTTGGGGTTGTGCCATGAGAGACCCGCTTACCTTTCCTCCTACAGATTCAGATGCCATGTCGATCAGCTGGGTGAAGTCCAGAAACCTGGTCAGTTTTCCCTCTTTTGGGGCATCAGCCATAGCTTCCTAGAAGTAAGAAAGGCAGATGGTCAACCTCCGGAGGCTGGAGCTTGGCAGGGACCATAGGAGGGAGTGAGGCCTTGTCTGGTCTCCCAATGCCAAGGTCTGAGACTATTCAAAGGTCAGGCAATGACAGAACTGCACATAGTGTCAACTGGACATTACAAGTGCTCAGTGGGGTCGAATTTAAGGGTGACTTTGCATAAACATGTGGAAGCAGGGAAGGAATTACAGCAGGGCTTCCTGCTGAAGTATTTAAGAATAAAACATTAAATATACAAATTCTGCCACCACAAAATGCAAAGTTTTGTTTTATTATTTAAAAGGGGGACATCATTTTAATTTAGAAAAGAATAACTTGCTTTTAATAGTCTTTAAATCCATTCAAAAAACACATATTGAGTAACTAAGTGGCAGGCCCTGGCTAGAAATGGGTACAGTGGGGGAATGCCTGCCCACCCACAGGAGCTCTGCCATGGTGGGAAACAGACTTGCACAGAGCCCACAGATCAAATGCCAGACTTGGTATGGAGCTACCAGAGACTGAGCCATGAGGATGTCTCCAGCCAGGAGAATTCACAGCCATGTTGCCTTATCATGGGAAGCTAACATGGAACTTACTCCACCTCCCTGGCATCTTTATCTTGAAGCTGAGCAAGTAGAGACTTGAAGAAGTGAAGACAGGCCCCAAGGGAGGCTGGAAGACTCTGGACTGGGCCCAAGGCCGCCCCTCCCCTAAGTCTTTTGCTCCTTCCCTTTCTCAAACCCCACATGGTGAAAAGAGAAAACTGAAGCCGGGCTCGGTGGCTCAGCCTGTAATCCTGCGCCTTTGGGAGGCTGAAGTGAGTGGAGTGCCTGAGCCCGCAGGTTCGAGACCCGCCTGGGCAGGCGAGACCTCATCTCTACCATAAAATCAAAAAATTAGCCGGGCATGATAACACGCGCCTGTAATTCCGGCTATTCGGAAGGCTGAGGCGGAAGGATGGCCAGAGCCCAGCAGGTCGCGGCTGCGGTGGCCGGGAGTGGCCACTGCACTCCAGTCTGGGCAACAGAGTGAGACTCCAACTCAAAAAAAAAAAAAAGAGAGAAAACTGAATGAATATTAGCATCTCATTAAGAATTGTGCTTATTCACAAAAGAACAAATACAAATTGTCAGTGGACAAGGGAAGTCAACTCTTCTTTGGAATTATAGGAATATAATTATAAAATATAATTTCCCCTATAAAGCACATCGTTTTTTCCCCCATAATCTATTAAGAATGGGAATGGGAACAGTCTCTCCAAAGAGTGATTTGGTCACGACTACAAAATGAAATGAAGGTTTCCTGTCATTCTCCTTTGCTGGTTCTTCCCTAACTGTTCATGCTGAACAGTTCATGAACTGTTCATGCTGGGCTCACCTGAGTTTCCTCTTTCTCTATACTCACCTTCCGGTGGTCTCCTCTGGGCTAATGGCTCCTAAGACCATCCACATCCTGTTGATCCCCAAATGTATACTGCCTTCCTGACTTGGATTTCCATCTGCCAACTACCCCTTGGATGTCTAATCGAATCTCTAAGCTGGCATGTCCAAACCTCAGCTCCTGCTCTCCCCAAGTCTCCCACCCCCTTGGCGTCCCCAACACAGTGAAAGGCAACTCCATCCTCCTAGTCGCTCAAGCACCTGGGAGGTATCTTTCATTCACCCCTCTCTCCCTTACATTCACACCCAGTCTGTCCCAAAGTTATGTCTACCTTCCAATTGGACCCAGAATCTGGAATGACATAATATCTGGAATTGTCTTCAAAATTATATGAGAAGAGAAGTGAATAAGGATAAAGGTAGAACAATACTGACCATGAGCTGATGATAATTGTTAGAGCTGGAGGATGGTTACATGGAGGAGCCATATAATATTTTTAGGATCTGTTTAAAATCTTTCACAAAGTCATTCATATTATGCTCATTACGCACACATACACACATACACACACACACAGAGGGAGGAAGAGGAAAGATGCCATCATCATCTTTCTCCTGGATATTAAAATATTCCCCAACTCTTCTCTCTATGTCCACCTTTGCCTCTCTACTGTCTGTTCCCAGAGCAAGCTTTCAAAAACAAAACTCAGATTGGTAAAAGCATTGCAATGGCTCCCCTTTGAAAGTTGAGCTCCTCACCTTGGCCATGAGTCCCTTCCTTAACTAGTGACTGTTTCTCCTCCAGTTGTTTTCTCTCCCACTCCCTGCCCCCTCTCCAGTCATACTCTTCCCCTTGCTCCTCATCCAACACTGTAGACATGTTCTGCCTCTATGTCTTTGCAAGGGCCATTCCTTCTTCAGGGAATGCTGTTCCCCCTTATCTGCAGAGCTCACTCTCTCGCCTCCCTCCAAGTCTTTGTTTGACTTCAGCCACTTAGGCTCTCACCGCCTATTTGCAATGTCAACCCTACTCCCTCCACATCCTGACACCCCTTACTCATAATATTTATTTTCTGTCTTTCCAATGAAATGTGCACTCCGCGAGAACAGTAAGTTTTGCTCTGTTCCCTACTAAACATCCCCTCCCCCCAGCATTTACTGGGAGCTCACTGGAATGTCATGCATTAGTCATATATTTTATCTCACTATTAAAATGAGAACAGCTTGTGATGTTGGTATTATTCACATCTTATAAGTGAAGAAAATGCATTTTTGAGAATCCAGATAAATTGTCTAAACCCACAGAGGGGAAGTGAACCATATCACCAACCCAGATGTGTCCAAACATGACTGATATTTGAAAGTTCTTAAAATAGTGCTGGCACAGGGTGTTACAAAAGTGTTTGTTAAACAGACTTCACTGGGATCTGTATTTATTCAAGCAACAACCGTATGTAGAGCTCCCGGATGTTCAGATGCTGTGCCAGGTGCTGGGTGCACACTTGCCTTTAAGTGGTTCATGGTGTCATGGAGGACACAAAAACAGGGATGATGACCCATCCCAAGAAAAGCAGTCACAGAAACACCCTTGAGGTGCAGCAGGGCACTGAGGACATACATTCAGTGAGCACTGGGGACTCAGAGAACTCTATTTATAAGTGGACATCAAGCTGGGGGTTACAGAAGAAGGAGCAAACACCCAGGCAGGGGAGACAGCAGGTTCAGGCATGTAAACAGGTGACCCAAGGAACAGGTGACCCAAGGACAGGAAAGTGATTTTGTCCAGACCCACACTGTCCAATCTGGAAGCCACTAGCCACATACGGAAATTTAATAAATCTAAACTTCAATTAATTGAAATTAAACAAAACTTAAAACCCAGTTTCTCCCTTGTACTGGCCACATATCAAGTGCACAATAGCTACTGGTGGCCATCATATTGGACAGCACCGATGTAGGAAACCCCTGTCACCGCAAAGAGTTTTATTGGACCATGCTGGAAATGCTTCGAAAAGATGACAGTGCAGAGCCCACCACCAGAGGCACCCCAGCCATGCAGTGCAAAGTTTAAAACAGTGTTAAACCGCCCCCAGACAAATAATCTACAGACAGACTGGAATTAAAGTCACTTTTTCACATAGTTCTCTCACAATGGGATCTGAGTCAGCTCATCAAGGCTGGATGATTCCAACTGTGTGATGCCCTGTTTGCTGTGTCAGTGAGGCTCAGCTGAGCACGCATGGGGGGTGGGGATTGAATGAAAGGAGGGACCCCAAGAAACTTAAAATAAACTTAGCTCACATTTTGCCTCAGCATAGCCATTTTTGCTTAGACTGACGTGATTTGAATCTAGCACAGGTTAGACATAGATAAGTTTCCAAAAGGCAAGTCTTAGGAAGCATTCGGACATTTTACTGCTGGCAGCCTACCCCGCCACCTTGGCAAATCTCCACCTGATACAAGGCAAGGACAGTCCAACCATTCAATTCATGGTTTAGCATAATAACCTCCAATAAACTTTCAGACCCCTTAGCTGGCCGAAGCTACAGAAACAATAATACGACTAACTTTTTGCTTAAAAAGCATTTGTGGATTGCAAATGTCAGACAGGTCTCTTGTAGGAAAAACCCCTCTCCTTGTCTCCTCCCATCTAGCCCACCACCTGAGGGCATGAGATGCTAACATCTGGCAAAGTCCAGATCTAAGATTCATGTGACTACAGTCAACATCAAAGATCTGCAGCCCTGGGCATTCCTGTTGGCCCAGTCCTCTCCAGGCCCAAACCCCCCTACTCTAAAAGCCCATATATATACCCTGTTCTTGGCCCTGCAATGCCACACCTGCCCCTGAGAGTTGGCCCCCTTTCCAATCTGTGAAAGGTAAATAATAAGCTTTACTTCCTTCTTCTTCTTATTTGGTTGCAACCTTGTATTATTACTGCAGTATTGGCACTGGCGCACCTCTTCTCAGTTTACCCCTTCATCTGGTGGCCCATACGGAGATTTGTTCCAATATTCTTGGGTCAAGGAGAAAGAGGACACTCTCTCTCTCTCACTTGTTCTCACACACACACCGGACAATTCCACTGACCCTATGCCCAGTACACCAACTGAGAGTGTGAACAGTTTCTGGGGCCCAGGGGCTTCCACATTCTAATTCTACCCCATGCTGGGCGTAGGCTCTGGATGGTCTAATTCCACCCTATGCTGGGTATAGGTGCCAGATAGTCTAATTCCACCCTATGCTGGGCATAGGCACTGGATGGTCTAATTCCACCTTCCTTTGTCTGGGATGCCAGACCTAGGTGGTAGATGGTCTTTGCATGTTAATTCCCCCGTCCTTTGTCTGCAATGCTGGACTTAGGTGGTGGGTGGTTAATTCCACCCTATGCTGGCATAGTCATTGGATGGTCTTCTCTCCCTTGGACCTCTCAGATGTGATTCTTAGGTCTCTCTCTCTCTCTCTCTCTCTCTCTCTCTCTCTCTCTCTCTCTCTCTCTCTCTCTCTCTCTCCCCCTTCCAGAGTCTACAATGGGGAACACTTAATCAGTCATGAAAAAAGACTCACCATTGGCATATCTTCATTCTAAAATGTCTCAGAAC